GGGGGAAGAAATGGTTTAAAATAGTGCAGTGAGCGCCCTGTGCTGCCCCTGCATCTTCAGAAGTGCTGCAGGAGGGACTGGGCCAGCCCAGCCTCAAACCCAGCCTCCCCAGGAAGCCTCCAGTGCTTTTGTAAGACACTCCTAATGTTCTTTTTGCTTTCTTTCCTCCAGTCTGAAAGGCACTTTATTATGCAAGTAGTCTGTGAAGCAACACAGTGTCCAGATACAAGGGTGAGTGAATCCAGGGCTTGCTTTGCCCCTGCACCTTCCTGGGGCAGCTGGGGGGAACCTCTGACACCCAAACCCACCTAAAATAACCACAGTTGTGCTAAATAACCCCTCTTTTACCCCAAAGGTACGAGTGGCTGCCTTACAGAATCTGGTGAAGATAATGTCCCTTTATTATCAGTATATGGAGACCTACATGGGGCCTGCTCTGTTTGCTGTGAGTATTCAGGTTTCTTATAGTTGTATTTTTGTCTCTCCTATTTATTTGTATTTTTGTTTCTCAGATCTATTTGTATTTCTAATTCTCTTACTTGTATTTCTATTTCTTATATTTATTTGTATCTCTATTTCTCATATATTTGTATTTAGTTTTCACGTTTGTATTTATATTTCTCACATTTACTTGTAGTTCTGATTCTCATATTTATATCCACGTTCCTCACAGTTACTTCTGATCTTCCTTTACTCATATTTATATTTCCCATATTTATTTCTATGTTGGTCCTTTACTGGTATTTATATTTCTCACATTTATTTCTCTGATCTCCCTGTCCTCCTTTATCCTAATCTTTTACAAAACTTTCCTTGTATTCCTGATTTTTCTTCCTTTTGTATCCCTGATTTTCCTGTGCCTGGATGCTGGGCATCCCTCTCCCCATAAAACCCCCCTCACCAGCAGCAGGACTCTCAGACCTGGGGCTCCAAAAGCTGGGACAATGCTGATTTTGTCCGTGCTCCTCAGCCCTCCCAGGGGGGCTCAGAGCTGATAAAATAATCCTATTTGGAAGTTCCAAGAACAATAACTCCAAAGTGGCATCCGATTTCAGCCGGGCTGGGATCTCCTGCCGACAGGCCGAGAGTTGGGACGTGGATTCCAGGAGAAACAACTTGTTAAAATGTCCTTTTGTGGGTTTTTTTTTGTTTTTTTTTTTCCTGTTTCCCAGATAACTATTGAAGCAATGAAGAGTGACATAGATGAGGTGGCTCTGCAGGGAATCGAGTTCTGGTCCAACGTGTGTGACGAGGAGATGGATTTGGCCATCGAGGCCTCGGAGGTGGGAGCGCTGGGAATGCTTGGAGCCAGTGGGACTCCCCCGAGCCCCCCAGGCTGGGGTTGCTGCTGAAACAACTCAGGGAACAGCAGCATTTTTCTCCTTTTTTCCCCCTTGAAAACCTGCCTTGGTTTCTCCTTTCATTTTGGGCACCTGAAACGGGAGCTCTGGAATTCCGGTTTTGGGGGAGGAATGGATTGGGACAGTGCAGGGGTGAGCAGTGCTTGGGTTCTTCTGCTCCACCAGGTGAATGTGAGGCCTCAGCTGAGGGGCTGCTTTTGGGATTTCCTTTAATCACACACTCATGGAATGGTTTGGGTTAAAAGGACCTTAAAATTCCAGTTCTACCTCCTTCCATGGGCAGGGACACCTTCCACCAGCCCAGGTTGCTCCAAGCCCTGTCCAGCCTGGCCTTGGACACTTCCAGGGATCCAGGGGCATCCAAAAATTCTCTGGGCAACCTGTGCCAGGGCCTGCCCACCCTCACAGGGAGGGATTGGGGTTGTTTTAAGGTGTAAAGCTCTAAGTGAAGCTCAGCTCTGCCCCTTTCCCTTCCTAGAGCAGCTTAGGCTGAGCTGCCTGTGCAGGAGAGGAAAATCCCTGCCAGGGAATTGGGATGGAGGTTCTGTGACAGGTCTGGCTGTGCCACTCAAGGGCTGGGGCTCTGCCAGGCAGGTACCTGATCCCTTGTTAGCATTCCAGCTCCAGCTCCAGGGTTAACCTAGATGTGCACTAAGCATGTACTCCAGGCCAGGGAATTCTCAGATCTTGGAGCTGGTGCTCTTGAGGAGTGTTTGGGGTCGTTGCATTTATATATCCCAAGGAATCCAGAGGAAATCTTCAATTACCTGCTGTTTTGGGGGCCTGGGGGACTCTGTATTCTTAAATTTTGGGGTCTGTCACAGACCTGAGGGGCTCAGTCCCACCCCAGCCCGCAGAAGGGTTGATCACGTTCCACATAATCCATTATTTGTCAGTTAAATATAAAACTACGGGTGGAATAAAAGTAATTATCCCTTGGAAGGGCTGGGGCTGGGTTTGGGGTGTTGTTCTGCATGCAGATGCTGTTTGCATAAATGAGCTGCAGAGATCAATAACAGCTGAAAAAACTTTGAAAGGGCTGGAGATGAATCATTTCCATCTTTAAAAGCAGCTAAATATATATTTATGTTGAATGCCCCCCTCCCAAAAAAAAAAAAATAAATAAAAGCAGGCAAGGAGAAAAGGACAGGCAGCAGCTCGTGGGGTTGGGTGCTTTGCTGGGCACCTTTTGCTCCTTCACCTCGGGGGCACCTCCCTAATTAGACCTGGGAACTGAAAATAGGGATAATTGTGCCCTGGGAGGAAGGGATTTGGGTGTGCATGGAATGGGAAATTCAGGCTGGGTGTTTGAGTGTTTGACTGGGTGCAGGGTGTCCTTGAGCCTCCTGGCTTCGGATTTGTGTGGGGAGGAAAGCATGGAAAGGGAATTTGGGGTTAATAATATTATAGTAATTTCTATTGTATATTAATAATAATATTTTATATATTATGCTGTTAATGTTATGGATACATTAGCATTCGTAGTATAATGTACAATATTTTGTTATGTAATAACATGATGTATAATATGCAATCATTATATAATGTCTAATATATATAATATAATGTAGAGTATGTCTAATGTGTAATGTTCTATTAGTGTCATAGATTGATACATTGTGATATACATTTTATATATATAATATTCATTACATAACAACTTTTAAAGGGAGTTTATAATAAATTCAGCCTCTTTAGCCACTGAAAACCCCCCTTTTTACCCCGTTTTTTTCCAGGCAGCAGAACAAGGGAGGCCTCCAGAGCACACCAGCAAGTTCTATGCCAAGGGGGCCCTCCAGTATTTGGTCCCAATTCTGACACAGACCTTGACCAAGCAGGTGAGTTGGGAATCCTGGTGGGATCAGGGTGCTCCTGCCTGCCCTGGGAAGGGGGTTCTGGCTCCCAGAGGTGCTCCAGGTGGTGGCAGTGCCTCGGTCTGTGATGAGATTTCATGCACCACTCTGAGCAAATGATGCATCAGTTTTGGGGCTGAGACTGTGGAACTGCCTCCAGCAGCTTTTTTTTCCTCCCCCCTGCTCAATTCTCCTCACACCCTCCCTGCATTTATGGTTTCTGAAGAGGTTTGCTAATTCCCTGTATTCCTAAGGAAATATTTGTGAGATTGAAGCCAATGTGAGATCCAGTTCCTGGAATGTGGAGCCTGAAATGCGAGGCCCATGTTTATTTAGTGCCCATTAAACACTTCCCAGGGACTTGTTTTGGGGCTGTGCTTCCCAGGCTAATCAAAACTAATGGAATTGCTGCAGCAGGTCTAATTAGAAGAAGTAAAACTGTTAATTAAGCTGTACGGGACAGAGTTCATTTGGCTGGGAAAAGTGCTCCGAGTGGATCCAGGGAATTGTTTCCCTGCTTGTTTTTTTATCTTGGAGTTAAATTGCAGGAGGTTCTCAAGTGCTTGTTAAACAAAACAGGTGAGAGAATCCCAAGCTGAGCTTTAAAGGGTTTGAGAGCCTGGGCTTAGTGGGGGAAGGAGCTGTTTTAGCTGGAGCAGGAATTCTGCTTCGCACATTCAGGGAAAAACAGAAGGATATCACCCATTTTGGGAGGTTTGTAGAGCCCAAAATACCTGGATTATTCGGAGCAGGAATTCTGCTCTGAACATGCTTTAATTTAAGGAGAATTAGAAGGACATCACCTGCCTTTGGAGGCTTGCAGGGCCAAAAATCCCTAGGGATCGCTCCGGGATGGATGATACAGATCCAAGGGGTAAAATCTCCGCCCAGGTGAGAGGGAGGGAGTTGTGGAAGTGGGTGAGGCCGCTCCAGGTGTGCCAGCAGAGCTTTGCTCCAGGCAGGGGAGGTGCAGGGGGTGTGAGTGACTGCTCTGGGGGACTGGGATTGCTGGAAATCCAACCCCATCCCTGGGTTAACCCCTGGGGTGCTGAGGGACGTTCCCGGCGCCGTTCCAGGATGAGAACGACGACGACGACGACTGGAACCCCTGCAAGGCAGCTGGGGTGTGCCTGATGCTGCTGGCCACCTGCTGTGAGGACGACATCGTCCCCCACGTGCTGCCCTTCATCAAGGAGCACATCAAGAATCCCGACTGGAGGTACCGGGACGCGGCCGTGATGGCCTTCGGGTGCATCCTGGAAGGGCCAGAGCCCAACCAGCTCAAACCTTTAGTAATACAGGTGAGAAATGGGGGGCTCTGGAGGGGTTAAAAGCCCCTGGGTTGGTTGGAGGAGGAATTCTGGTTGGCACGTGGTCTTAATTTAAGGAAAACCAGAGGGAAGTCGCCTGGTTTTGGGGGTTTGTGGAGCCAAAAGTCCGTGGGTTGATTTAATGTCGGGCGTAGGAGCTGCCTTGAGTTTGTAAACGCTGTGGAAACTGTCCCTGCTACAGGTGGGATGGAAAGCAAAATGGAACAAGTGTTTGGAAAAGGAATGTCAGGATTCAGCCATTTTTTGGGAGGCTCAAGGAATGGGACGCCTTGTGCCCCATCCCCTACACCTGACTCTGCAGTGATTCCAGAGCTTTATCCTGGTGCAGATCCACCCCCAGAGGCATCTCTGCTGCTCCACGTCCCTCCCTGCCTGCAGAGGGAGCTGAGAGAGTGGAGCTGAGTGGAGAGGGGGATTTGCTCCCAAAGGGAATCTCTGATCCTGCCTCCTGAGAGAGCAGAGCTGAGCTCTGAGCTGTCGGAGACGATGGGATGGGGAGGCAGCTGGGTCGGCTCGAGCGGTTCAAACGCTGGTGAACCCCTGCATTTTGCACCCTCCCCTGACCTGGCTGCTCCTGGCTGGTGTTTTGCAGGCCATGCCCACGTTGATAGAGCTGATGAAGGACCCCAGCGTGGTGGTGAGGGACACGACAGCCTGGACGGTGGGGCGGATCTGTGAGATGCTGCCCGAGGCCGCCATCAACGACATCTACCTGGCCCCGCTGCTGCAGTGCCTCATGGAGGGGCTGAGCGCTGAGCCCAGGGTGGCCACCAACGTCTGCTGGGTGAGGAACCCCCTGGCAGCTCCAGGAACCCAGCCCAGCCTGGGAATTCTGCTCCCAAGGGATGGCGGGGCTTGCAGGGGGTGGGGTCCGGCTGCTCCCCCGTGTCCTCCCGTGGGGTTTGGGCACTTCCAGGGGTGTTCTGGGGCCTCAATCCATGAAGGAATTTTCCCTGATGTCCAACCTGAGCCTCCCCTGGAGGAACAGGTTGTTTCCTCTTGTCCTGTTGCTTGTTACTGGGAGAAGAGCCCAACCCCACCTGACATCCCACTCCTGTCAGGGAGTTATTGCGATTTATGTGGATACAAATCAAGAGGTACAGAGAGGAATACACACATTTATGTTTTCCTTATATTTTTCTGTATTTCCCCCATATTTCTCTTCATTTTCCCTGTATTTTTTTTATTTCTACCCCACCCTTATTTCTCCCCCCCATTTATTTCGTTTGTCCTCCCCATTCATTTCTTTACCCTCATTTGTTTCTTTCCACCCATTCATTTCTTCACCCCTTTTATTTCTCCCCCCCTATTTATTTCTCCCCCCCCCTTTTATTTCTTCCCCCATTTCTTTTCATATTTCTCTGTATTTTTTCCCATCTTATTTTTCCCATATTTTTCCACACACACTTTAAAGGATTTCAGGCTGATTCATGGCTTGCTCACCCAACACACACCGTGGCTGACACTCAAATTATCTCAGGTCTTCTGTGGCTGTGGGGAAAAAAATTAAGGAACAAATGGATTTTAAGGAGAAAAACTATAATATTCACTGAGTGTGGAAGTTGCCTTCAGTGGAAACTCCCTGGTAACGTGTAAGGGCTGTTGGGAAAAGGGATTTAAGGGTTTTTTTGGGGAGACAGTTCAAGGAAAAGGTGCAAAACCTCGTTCCCCATCACCACCACTTGGATCTGTGGTGATTGCAGAACTAATCTGGGGAGCAGGATCCACTCCCAGAGGCGTCTCTGCTGCTCCATGTCCCTCCCTGCCCTCCGAGGTTGCTGCTGGAGTAGAACTGAGTGGAGAGGAGGATTTGCATGTCAAAACAAGCTTTAGAAGTGACAGGAGCTGTTCTTTCCCTCTGCCAGAGGTTTAAAGGCTTTCTGTGGCTCCTGGCACAAGTCCACGGAGCTGTGGCTTTTTGTCTGCTCTGGGTGATGATTGGGATGTGTTTTCTAAATTAAAATGAAAATCAGGAAGCTTTCAGCTCCTCTCACCCACCTGCCTCAGCACAGTTGCTCTGCAGTTGCTAATCCTGGTGGGGTTTTTTTGGAGTTTTGGGTTGGGGTTTTTTTTTTGATTCTTACAATGGGAACTGATGGAATTTGTGTTCCTGGACCAACGAGGCCAAACCCAGGGGAAATAAAATCCACGTTTTTTGGTGTGTTCCAGGCCTTCTCCAGCCTTGCTGAAGCTGCCTATGAAGCTGCAGATGTGCCTGATGATCAGGAAGAACCAGCAACCTACTGCTTGTCCTCCTCCTTTGAGCTGATAGTGCAGAAACTCCTGGAGACTGCAGACAGGTACTGGGCACCCCCGAGAGAGTCCCTTCCCTGTGTTGCTTCAGATCTCCTCTCTTTGACTTCTAATCTCTTCTGGTTTTACTTGAAATCTCTCCTGTTTTATCTTGAGGCTCTTATTTTACCTTGAGTCTCTCCCACTTTACTTTGAACCTCTCTCCTTGTTTTACCTTGAATCTCTCTGTTTTTCTCTAAACCTCCCCTGTTTTCCTTTGAATCTGAGTTTTTAGTGCACACTTTCAGGCCCAGCTGGGTTGGTTGCAGGTCCTCTGGATAACCAAGGAATTTTCAACAGGGCACAAGCAGAAATCCCTGGGAATTGCCCATTTCCCTGCCTGTTCCACTCCATCCCTTTCCACATCCCCACCTCTCTCTGGGGGCTTTGAGGCTTTTCCTCTCCCTCTCCTCCTTCCCAGCGACTGAAAATCATTAATAGAGAATGGGGGGGGAAAAAAACACACCAAACTGAGCTAAAAGTGGCTTCATGGAGTACAGGGATGCAAGTGCTGCTCGTCACAGCACTGAAATGTGGCTGTTACTGGTTTACTAAAATTAAAGGAAAAAAAAAAAACCTGTTTCTAAGCAAGGCTGAGCACTGGGAGCTGCAAATTATCCCTTCTGTTCCAGACCTGATGGACACCAGAATAACTTGAGGAGTTCTGCCTATGAATCCCTGATGGAAATAGTGAAAAACAGTGCCAAGGACTGTTACCCTGCTGTCCAAAAAACGACCCTGGTCATCATGGAGCGGCTCCAGCAAGTGCTGCAGATGGAGGTGGGTAAATCCCAACTGAAACCTCCCTTACAGAGCTGCTGCCCCATCCCTGGGAGTGTCCAAGGCCAGGTTGGACGGGGCTTGGAGCAACCTGGGCTGGTGGAAGGCGGGGCTGGGTGGGATTTGAGATCCTGGGGTGCTATTTTAAGCTTCTGCACAGTCTCTCCTGTCTTAAATCTGAAAAAAAAAAAAACAGCCAACCCAAATATTTAAACACAATCTGGACCTGCTGGTGTTGTCAGAAGCCAGTGCAGCCTCTCTTCTCCTGTGTTCCAGTCCCACATCCAGAGCACCTCGGACAGGATCCAGTTCAACGACCTCCAGTCCCTTCTCTGTGCGACCCTCCAGGTGAGAGCCCCGCTGGTTTGGGGGGGATTTTAGGGGAATGGGGTGGCTTTAGGGACGTTTCTGTGCCCCTGAGGATCCAGGCTCGGGGCCTGTTGATCAGATCTGAATGAGGAAAGTGGATTTGTGTCCCAGCTGACACGTGGGAGGTGAGACGAGGATCAGAAGCCTTGAGTCGCACTCTAGTGACAGAATTTAGGGCAATTTGAGTCAGGAACACTGTGGGCAGCCTGGTAAAGGTGGGATAAAGGATTGTATGTGCTGTCAGCTTGGCTCCTGTGTTGGCTACAGCCTGAACAACCCCTTTTTGCTTGGCACAGGCCAAAAAAAAAAAAACCTCCAGCATGGCTCGAATTCCTTCATCTGCCTCCTGTGGCTGGTGTTCTTCTTTCAAATGGCTCTAATTAAAAGGCACTGAGAGGCCTTGAAATGAAACATCTGGTAAATGAGCAGTGTGACTGGGAGCAGCAGTGCAGTGCAGTTCCTTGGTTACTCCTGCAAATCCTGCTGAAAACACCTATTTTGTTTTTTTTCCCCCAAAATCAGCTCAGGAGATTGATCAGAGCACCCTGTTGGAGTCTGTGGTGTTTGTCTCCAGGCTGATGTGAGGAATCATTCATTTGCTCACTCAAAAGCCTTGTGGTTGCTTTTCACTCTTCCAATTTTTAGGGTAATTTTAAAAGGAATGGTTAGGTGGGAATAATCTGTCCTTAAGCTGGGCTTTAATGGGGGAGATTCAGTGTCTGGAATCTCCTCGTGGTGCTCGCTGATCTCTCCCAGCACAGCTTGGTTTGCCCCTGGGGAGTGTAAGAGAAGTGGAATTAAACTGCCAGTTTTAATTGATAAACGTGTGTGTATCCCCAAATCTGAACCTGAAGCATTTCCTGAGTTGCAGCAGAGACTTAAATACCACTGAGCACAGCCCAGCAGAGGGGCTTTTTTCACTGTTGAATAATCACATGCCTCTTTTTGTTACAGAGTTTTATTCTGCTATAAATGCATTTGTTAGTATTTAAAAGGAACGAGCAAATCCCATCCCTGGAGGTGTCCAAGGCCAGGTTGGGCTGGGCTTGGAGCCACCTGGGCTAGTGGAAGGCTGGAATTTGATGATCTCCAAAGGTCCCTTCCAACCCAAACCACCCCGTGGTTCTGTAAATCAAGACTTAATCATTTAAACATTTAAAGTCCATCTCTTTGGAGTGAAGAATCAGCCTTCAAATAATAATTACTATAAAGAACTGGTCCTTCTATTCCCATAAAAAGTGTTTTATTTCAGCAACCAGCAATTTCTAAAGTTTTCGTTCTGTGCTTTGGAAGCAAAACTGTTGGGCCCTCACGTTGCTGTGGGCAGAAAAAGGGACCCTGCTCGTGGGGTTTTTTTTCATAGGATCAGATTTGGGCTGGTCACATTTAATTCCAGCTTACAAATGGAAAGCTGGGAGAACAGCCTATGCAGCAGGAAAGGTAAATTCAGCTTGTTCTGTGGCTGCAAAACTGAATGGAGCGAGATGAAAAAGGGACTTTGCGGCGATCAAGCGGATTTTTGGCAGCAGTGGGGAGTTCAAACGGCAGCTTCCTGTCTGGGAAAGGGGGTGGAAAAGCTTCCTGCAGGCTGAGAGGGCTGGCAGCAGTGGTGTGTGTGTGTCCATGTGCCCGCAGAACGTGCTGAGGAAGGTGCAGCACCAGGACGCCCTGCAGATCTCGGACGTGGTCATGGCCTCGCTGCTGAGGATGTTCCAGAGCACGGCGGGCTCGGGGGGAGTGCAGGAGGACGCCCTGATGGCCGTCAGCACCCTGGTGGAAGGTCAGCACTGGCCTGGGAGGAGGCAGGGGCTGGGACAGGGCGGGTTTGGATCCTGCTCTTTTGGTTTGTGTGGGGAGAAAAGCGGCATTATTGGCGGGTTTTGCTCAAGGCGTCGTGTGACCACTCCTGGGACAGAGAAGCTGTGGCTGCCCCGTCCCTGGAAGTGTCCAAGGGACTTGGAGCAACCTGGGATAGTGGATAGTGTCACTGGGATAACCTGGATAGTGTCTCTGGATGATCCTGAAGGCCCCTTCCAAGCCAAACCATCCTGTGTTCCATGATCTCGCCGCCTCTGAGCCTGGCTGGTTATTCCAGACTGGTCCATGAAGGAATGGTTTGGTTTCACTTTTCATAAAGTTACCACAGAGCAAATTTTGCCAGAAAAGCTCACCTCCAAATTAGTGCTGCTCTGTCCAGTTCCCATCCCAAGGGAACCTGTTCCCTTGGAGCAGCTCCAGGGCAGATGGAACGTTACCTGAGTGATTCACCCTCCCTGGTGACTCAGGGCTGTTCTGGCAGTGGATTTACAGCTCTTGTTTATCGGAAATCACAGTGGCAAAAATCAGCCTTGGAAGGGGTGAAGGGAAATTCCATTGGGGTTCTGGAATTCCAGGCAGCTTGAGCCTCCTGGTGCAGGTATAGAAGGTGGTGGCTGTGGCATCACCTGGAGCTCCAGGACAAAGGAATGTGGTGCTGCTGAAAATCTTGGATGCCACCTCCTTGCCTTGGACCCGCTTGCCTGTCCCTCTGAAGGTCTCCACACCCTTCCTGAGCTCAGGAATCTCTGGAGGATCTCTGGAGTCCAGGTGGCCCTGGACACCTTTCCCTGCCCCTCATTCCCTGTGTGTTGCCCTGGGGGAGAATTGATTTCCACTGGCCTTGGGTGGGATGCAATGCTGGGCTTCTGACTTGTTGAACCCCAGCAAAACAGGATTCCAGTCACCAGTGGGGATTCTCTTTCTAACTGGAATGTTTTCCGTGCACAGTCTTGGGTGGAGAGTTCCTGAAGTACATGGATGCCTTCAAACCCTTCCTTGGCATTGGCCTGAAGAACTATGCCGAGTACCAGGTACAGATCCAAGACTTTACTCCCTCTGCCCCCAGAACCTCTGGCTGCCCCTTCCCTGGAAGTGTCCAAGGCCAGGCTGGAGCAACCTGGGATAGTGGGAGGTGTCCCTGCCCATGGCAGGGGGTGGAATGTGATGATCTTTGAGGTCCCTCCAGCCCAAACCAGCCCAATTCTGTGCATAAATCAAGACTTAATGCAGCAGAAGCCTCCAGGGCCTTGGCTCTGCACATGTGTTGGCCTGGATGTGATTTCCCATTGGAATGTCGAGTCCCGGTGCCCTCCATGGGGTGGGAGCTGAGACACAGTTTGGTTGGGTTTGTTCAGACCAAATCCCTGTCACTCCCTGGATCTCAGCTCTGGGCTATCCACGGTTAAGGGAGCAGGGACTGCTCAGGGGCCCCTCAGCTGCTCTCAGGGTCGTTATTCCCCGGGGTTTAATTAACCTCTCGCCACTCCAGAGTGCTGGAACGGGCTGGATGCGGGAGGCTGGAGCTGTGACTCACGCTGGGGGTGTTGCTGTGCTATTTGCAGGTCTGTCTGTCTGCAGTGGGCCTGGTTGGGGACTTGTGCAGGGCCCTGCAGTCCAACATCCTGCCTTTCTGCGACGAGGTTATGCAGCTGCTCCTGGAGAACTTGGGGGTGAGTGTTTCCCTCCTCATTAGTAACAGTTGGCTGCACACTCAGAGGGAGGTGGGAGGTGGGAGAAGAAGCACAAGTGTTGGGAATGCTCGGATCATCTCGTGTTTGACAACTATCTTGCTTACTATTTGAACGGGATCCAAACTTATTGGGGGCAAGGATTTGCATGTGGAGTAAATATCTGCATTTATGGGCTCCACCCCCCTCCCAGAGGGAGTGAGAACTGAGCGTGGCCCTGCTGGAATCTCTTCCAGAACGAAAATGTCCATAGGTCTGTGAAGCCCCAGATCCTCTCGGTGTTCGGGGACATCGCCCTGGCCATCGGAGGGGAGTTCAAGAAGTACCTGGACGTGGTGCTGAACACCCTCCAGCAGGCGTCCCAGGCACAGGTGGACAAGGTAAGGTGTGCCCAGCCCAGCCAGGGGCTGTGCACGTCCCCAGGGCATTCCCAGGGTCTCATTCCCGTTCCTGTGGCCCTTTGCAGTCCGACTATGACATGGTGGATTACCTGAACGAGCTGAGGGAGGGCTGCCTGGAGGCCTACACTGGGATCATCCAGGGCCTGAAGGGAGACCAGGAGAACGTGCATCGTGAGTACCCTCAGCTGGGTGGGGTCAGCTCTGCTGGGATCACAGGAACTAAAAGCTTGGGAAAGATCCTTAAGATCGAGTCCAGCTGCCAGCCCAGCACTGCTGTGTCACCTCCAGCCCGTGTCCCCAAGGGCCACATCCACACCTGCTTTGAATGCTCCAGGGATGTGACTCCACCGCTGTCCTGTGCCAGGGCTTTACAACCCTTCCCATGAAGGGATTTTTCCCAAATGTCCCATCTGAACCTCCCCTGGTACCACTTGAGGCCGTTTCCGCTTGTCCTGTCCCTTGTCCTGGGAGCAGAGCCCGACCTGGCTCCAACCTCCTTCCAGGGAGGAATCAGGTCCCCCCTGAGCACCTTTTGTCCATGGTTATCACATCCATGGGGATATCACTGTTCATTCCCTCCCCTGTGGGAGTGAACACTCTGCTGCCACAGGCAGGGAATATGTTCAGAACCTCTGGCAGCATTTCCCCTCCCTGTCAGAGAAGCTCTTTTGGGCCAGATCCCGCCTGTTTTGGGATTGCTGGAATCCCTGGAAGTCCTGTCCCTCTGTCCCTGTGCCCCCCTGCTCTGACAGAGCCTTTCCCTTGCAGCTGATGTGATGCTGGTGCAGCCCAGAGTAGAATTTATCCTGTCCTACATCGACCACATCGCTGGGGACGAGGATCACACGGATGGAGTGGTGGCCTGTGCTGCTGGGCTCATAGGGTAAGGCCCCCCTCCCACAATTCCAGCAGGGACACACCCAGAAACCCTGGAATCTGCCTCTTCTCCTGCCTGTCTCAAGTATTTAACATCAATTCTGGGGGTTTACAGCAGTGCTGGGTGTTAAACTCGGAGTGGGAAGGGGTTGCACAGGTGGAAACCGGGAGGTGGAAGTGAAGGTTGCTGCAGGAATTCCAGATTTAGGATTTTTTCAGGGTGTTTTAGTCCTTCCTGCTGAATTTAGGGCAGATCAGCCCTCGGCCAGGAGGTTGAACATCCCTTTTAGTCGCAGCCCTGGAATCAGTGACCATCTGCAGCGTTTTCCAAAAGGATCTGTGAGTCAGAGCTCTCTGTGCTGGCACAGCTGTTTGTGGTGCTCAGAGCCTCTCTCTCTCTCTCTCTCTCCCTCTTTCCAGGGATTTGTGTACAGCATTTGGGAAAGATGTTCTGAAATTAGTAGAAGCCAGACCCATGATCCATGAACTGCTAACGGAAGGGAGGAGATCCAAGACGAACAAAACAAAAACTCTCGCTACCTGGGCGACTAAAGAGCTGAGAAAACTGAAGAATCAAGCTTGGTAAGGGCTCCCTCCCACCTCCTTCCCTGCTCCATGGTTAGGGGGTCAGCCTGGAAGAGGTTTCGTTCTCCAGGAGGATCGTCCTCGTTTGTTTTTGCTCTGAACGAGCCCCGTTTGGGGTTGGTTTGTCGGGACAAATCCAGGGGGAGGGACGTGGTGAACTTGCACCAGGCTGGAGGGATTGGGGGTCAAACATGGAATCGTGGAATGCTTTGGGTTGGAAGAGACCTTAAAGCTCATCCACTTCCACCCCCCAGGGATGCTTTGCACTGTCCCAGGTTGCTCCAGCCTGGCCTTGGACACTTCCAAGGATCAGTTCCTTCCTGATATCCCATCACTCCTTGCCCTCTGGCCGTTTGAAACCATTCCCCTTTGTCCTGTCACTGTCTGCCCATGGAAAAATTCCCTCTCCTTCCTGAAATGTGTCACTTGTGCTCTTCGGGGACCACCCTGAGCCCTCCAGACCTGCTGGAACTGAAACCTGGGGGGTTCAGGGAGCATCTGGGAGCTGCTCTGAGTGCCACAGTTCAGTTTTAGGCAGCCCCGAGGAGCAGGGAGTTGGAATCTGATCCTCAGGGCTCCGCTCCAACTTCAGATATTCCACTGAAACACCTTTTAAAGGGAGCAGGCTGTGGGGAAAAGTGTGAAGGAGGATTATTGTCACCCACCTTGAAATCCCTTTAACATCCCTGTTATTTTTTTTCCACGTGAACGTTGGATTTTGGGGCCTTGGGGGTTATTTTTTTCGTAGAATCATGGAATTGTTAAGGTTGGAAAAGCCCTCCAGGATCGAGCCCACCAACCCACATCCCCCAAACAGTGACAGACCCCTTTTTTTTTTTATTTTTCCCTGCTTCCAGATCTGTTACCATTGGGATGACACCTGAGACCCCCACTTGGAAAATCTCCAATCTTTTGAAAAAAAAAAAAAAAAAAAACAAACCACAAAACCCAGAAGTGAGGAGTGTGCACGGATGCTGAATGTTTGGGAATGAGAGGATGAGTGTGAGTGAGGCTTGAAAAACAAACAAAACAAACAAAAGCAGAACCAACCACACCACATTTGAAAATCCCGCCGCAGCCACGGGAGCAGCGCCGAGCCCGCACCGGGAAGAGGGAACCAGGAGGGAATTCTGTCCAAGCAACACGAGGGAGGCTCCTCTTCCCAACAGCCCAGGACTGGCTTCTCCGTGGGGAACGGCCAGTTGGGAGAGGAGAGAGGAGAGGAGAGGAGAGGAGAGGAGAGAGGGCAAACTGGGATCAGCTGTGGTGCTTCTGTGAGGTCTTGGCTGCTGGAGAGAGGTGGAGCTTGGGATTCTCCAGCACGGGATGAGGACGGGAGGGGGTGAAGGATTTTCAGTCCAGGAGTGAGTGTGTGTGAGTGAGGCGGTATCCACATTCTCAACTTCAAGTCATTGCAGTTTATCTTTTCCCAAAAACCACACACAAAACAAAAACAAACAAACAAAACCAACCCCACCAAAAAAAAAAAGAAAAAAGAAAAAAATCCCCACAAAACATTAAAAAAAAAAAAAAAAGAGGGTTGGCTGTTGCATTTCATGAACTAACCGATTCAGTCCTACTGATGCAGCGTAAGAGATGTACAAAAAATTTAAAAAAACACACAAGTGAAAAGAGGATTAAAAAAAGTTTAAAAAAAAATTAAAAAAAAAAAAAGGTTAAAAAAAATAAAAATAAAAGGAAAGTCGCTCTTTAGGGCTTTTTTATTTTAGGGAAACACTGACGAATGTTCAGAGCTCCCGGCGGGTGACGCTTGTCCTGCTCAGCAAAGCGCCTTTCCTTCCTTAAATATTGTTCAACTGTGAATGTAGAAA